TGGTCGTAGATCTATCTCTCTCTCTCTGACATTATCTTTCGATCTTTCGCGTTTTTTTTTTGCTCAGGTGACGCCTTATCTTGGTAGGCGATGGTCTATTATTTTCTGTAATGTCCGTACCAAATAAGCTGATTTTGCTGTATTTCTTTGATAATGGTGATTGTTCGGTCCATATATAAATATTTATATATCCATATATGTATATATACAAATATTATTAAAAATCCATAAATGTTTTACTTGTCCTACTGCATTATTTGCATTACGAGAATTACTACTTAATCCTTAGATATACAAAAGCTTTGTATGTTATATGATTCACCATTTTCCACGATGCTAGATAGTTTTTATTTGGAAGTATTTACGTAATGATTTTCGGATCTTTATTTATAAATATTATAACTCGAATATTAGTTTAAGTTGGCATAGGTTCGATCATGTTGTGTCGATTGTTATATATGTTTAAAGTATCTTTACTTCATCTCCAAAACACGACTTGTAAAATTAGGCAAAAAATATTGTGTTTATGGTCCGTTATGGGAGTAAATCCCAATTTGAATTAATCTTTTAGTTGATTGCGTGTGCAAAGGAAACTTGGAAATTATAGACCTTGCCAATGTGACTCGGTCACTGTTATTTGATTTCAAAAAATTTATCTCCATGCTAATTTGAGCCCCAAAGCTGAATTTGGGTAGAACAAATATCTAGATGCAAGGAAAGAACTGAGAATGTGAACTCACAGAAATTGTCAAGAAGCGTAAAACATCTTATCTTGGACACATATTTAGACACGACAGGTACAATTTCCTTCAGCTTATTATAGAAGAGAAAATAGAAGGCAGACGCGGCCCGGGTAGACGACAAATGACCTAACTGCGCTCATTAAAGATTTGACAGGATTAGACTTTCAAAGTTTAATAAGGAAAGCCCAAAATACGGAAGACTTTGCAGAGGTCATCGCCAACCTTCGCTAAGAAGACGGCATCCAAAGAAGAAGAAAGGAAAGAACTGTTTTTCTTGGAAAAATTTTAATATTCTGCTCAATTCCAATACTCTAAATGTCTCACTCTCGTGATCTAAAATAGCTAACAAAATATTCTCATTATGTTCAGAGAAGTCATTCTTTGAATGATTGGATCAACAATGGATTTCCAATTGTTTAGAAAACTACGCGACATCTTCGCAGTTTGATGTAAGTGTGTTGTAAATACAACACTTGTTATTGTTATTGTAAATCATTTGCGGAACTACCTTCAATATAAAATTTGCCAATTCAGGTGCAAAAATCTGTATATAAAGATTTTGGTTTTTCATTTTGTAACCCATCTTATAGACCAATCTCAAAATATTCTAAAAGTTTTTAAAAGCATTGCTCTAAAAATATCAAACAATTGAAGTTGATACGTTGGTGACAACTTTATATAGATTTTTACAAGGATTCAAAAATTTTCTATAGATCCCACTAACTTTTAAACATAATTATGATATAATTTAGGATACTAAAACAGATAACACAAAGTGATAATTTTTTTCTTTTTGTGTAATTAGCCCATTTGAAAGAATGTTCCATTTTTAATTGCAGACGTTTTTAAATACGCCCTTTGGTAACAGAGTTACTTGCACTCCCGGACATATTTTATATTCCATGTATCATATACATTTTTTAAGCAAGTTGATTTGATATTCAATTATGACCTTTTTTATATTTCTCCATCAAAGTTCAATCCACAACAGTGATAAAACTTTAAATGCAAATTGATGGCATTAGTCAAAACATTTTCCTGTTTTTTACCGGGCACGTCGTATTCTTAACACTTAATAAATTTGTCTTTAAAAATAATTTGAGCAGCTGGCAGTGATGCTGATGAAAGGGCTGCACCAGCTATCGAGAGGAGAGGTTGAAATTCAAAACGTATAGTTGAAGGTAGAGATTGGAAGTTCTTGATTTTTGATAAAAGCTTCCTGTTCAAGTAGTCACATAGTTTTAAATACAAAGAGACGAATATCGAAACAATTTTTAAAATGTTTGTTCTTCGTCTAGTGTTAGTTTTTGTTTTATTAAATATTTATAACATTGATTGATATGCTGGATAGCCAACAATTTTTGACGAAATTCCGCTTAAGATGCTCTCAGAGCAAAATTACTTGGACAAGATTTAATCAAAAACCTGTGCTCAATATCTGCCGTTTATTTGTAAAATTCATATATTCAAGAGTTCAACCATATATTATGTTTATGTTATTTCGAAAAATAACTAAGAGCTAAACATACTTCTAAAAGTGACACTTTCAGTAAACAGAGAAAAGAAACAGTGAAAAGAACACCTTCAGTAAACACATTGTTAAAAGTAATGATTTGAATATAAGATTAAAAAAGGTAAAAATACATTTTTTAATAATGGTTCCTTCCTCAATTAGCTCAAACAGGTAAAAGAAATAACTTGAAATACTTCGTTCAGTTCTGCAATTTTTAAGCTCAGATACAAGAGGCACAAAGGCCGGCTATGAAATCACTTACAATAACATTAGTATTCAAGATGTATCAGGCCCGCCTCTTTTAAAAAATGTGCTATCAGCACAAATTGTCACTTTTCAAATTACAAAATACAATTACGGACACTATATTATCTGCAATAGTGCAAGGATATAACACTTTGGTTTCAAATCAAGCTATGCCTAAACAAAATATTTTAGTCTCTGCTCCAATTTTGACAACTGTTAATTTGCATCCATTAGTTATTGCAAATGTAACTTCAACTACCGCAATGTGCCGGTGAAATTGGCAAAGACACCTCCCCAACTCTTATATATGATTGAACGTATTTTTTAACCTGAACCTTCAGTACCTCTAAATATACCTCAGGCAGCCCTTATTCAAGGTCAGAATATATCCACTCTTACTTTCTTATATTTGAATAAAATTCCAATACCAAAACCTTTAGACTTATTATCAATTTTGAAGAAGGTGGTACACCTGCCGTGATCATTATCTCACCTCCAAATACCTTCTCCACTAATACACGAAAATAAAATAATCCCCAATATAGTCAATAAAATACTAGAACATGTCTACAGATAGATTACGAGCAAGTATATTAGATTATATCTTTGAGCAAGCACGTTTATTCCAAACAATGCCTCCCTCGTTCCAAACTTGCTGCGAAAACCAATCGTGTGTCACTTAGGTATTCATTGCATTTAATTATAGATGCGGCCATATATTATCTTAAGAAAACTTTTCAATAGATGGCTTAACAAACTGATGGTTCTATAATCAGCACAGGTTGTTGCTGTTATCTTTCGGTATGAAATGGTATTGAAAAACAAAGTTATAGCCTCTAAACATTGCTATTGCTAAATAGGACCCTTTTTTCATCTTAAAAAAAGATAAGGAAAATCTGCGTGTCAGCGTCTAACTAAAAACCTCTCTTCTGTCACACCAGATCAGGACGGAAGGGCTGGTTAAGGCAAACACCTCTCCTGATGCCCTACTGTCATTCTTTCTCCCACACATTCATCGGAGAAACCAGACCTACACGAACCACCAAAGACTTTCAACCCCTTGCCTTAGCGAGGCTGCCATCTCTCTCGCGTCGTCTGTCTCTTATTTACTCCTATTTCGGCCTGCGACAGTTCGAACCCCGACGAAGTGCTACTCGCTGGTTTTAAAATTCTGTTGCTAGTTCCCTCTCCTCTCGTTCTTTTAAAGAGAGCAGCTCCCTAATAAATTCGTGGATGCGTTTCCACAACCACTCATCCCTCATCATTTTCTCCACCATTTCTCTCAAGCAATCAAACAGTCTGCAGTTACCCTCTTTTTCAAACTTCTCTTAAACTTCTGTGTGTGTCACAGTCTCCGAGCGACCACACTAAAGGCACTGATCGGACTGAGCCCTCCTAAACCTGAAACGGTAGCTGCGGAAGCAGCCATGGCCTGTGAGCATTTTCATCAGATAATAATTTAGCTGCCTATGCCCACAGTCCACCCAGTTTCAAAGTTTCGGGATTAGGATTTCGTCCACTCTGCTACATCACGTGTTACCTTCCACTCTTGCCGCTACTGACCGATTGAAACTAATCTCTCTGCCAGTCTTATCTCATTCATATCTCGCTCTCCAATGTTCTGCCCCTACGACTATGAATACTGGCACTTTCACCTGCTCGCACATACACAGCCGGTGATCACTGACAGAGCGGCAGCTGAGAGAGTCGTGTAGGCACATGCTACCCGCAGCAGACTAATTCTGTCCACGCGTACCATGAATCTCTTGTAAGTTGGTATTTCTACCGCCTCACTCCAGACTGGAGCTGCGTAGTGGACGACAGACTACATAACACCGTGAAGCGCCCTTCTCCTTTCGGATTTGGGTCCACCAATATTAGGCACTATCCTTCCCAGCGCAGCCATTCTCTGAATAGCTCTGCGGGCCACCCCCTTCATATGTTCCCCTTAACTTTTTTAACATAGATTCAACCCTATGTCTCTTTCTATGTTATTGTTATTTTTTGCTAGTTTCCGTTGCTCCATTTGTAGCATTTGCAATTGTAGCATTTGCAATCCGTTATAATTGAGTATGGCACTTTGTTGCTACACCTTTGGCCACCATACCATTGATGCATATGCTATTTTTATTGTTTATTTCTTATATTTATTGTATGCTAAAAATACTTTGCGTAAAGATAAACTTCGAAAAAAAAATTAAGTTATTTTCAAGTAGTATCCTATTTATTAAAAAAAAATGTTGTGTTTATTAAACTAAAAAGTAGTGCAATGGTTTTAAGATATAATTGATAGCTGCGCATTAAATCACAATATGGATAATACCCTTGAAAACGGTTTCAAATAGACTATTGACAGTTCTTTATAATTAATTTCTATGAAATGTTTTATTATCTCGTCTTATCTCTAATCTCCTCTGATATTCATAAAATGGCAACATCCATTTTTACAGAGCATCGTTGAAATTATGTATGTAAAAGGTAGTCTTGATTAGATAAGATTATTATTGTACCTACATACACAGTGATGTATGTGAACGAAGTTCGTATTAAACGTTAAATGTGCTAAATTACAAAAATGGAAACAGGCAGTACAAAGAAAACTAGTAAAAGTGGTGATGTTAGTCTATTAAAAAAATTATTTGATATAAAAAGACCCGCGAAAGTGCAGAGTGCTACTTTACCTCGGACAACAGGGAAATCAGAGCAGGAGCCTTCAGGTAAAGAAAGATTATTTGTAAGAAATCAGAGCTATAGAAAAAAAACTTCAAAAAATAAATACAAAAAACAAAATTCAGAAATTAATCATGCTGAAAGCAACGAACAGGTTACAAACGTTAAGAAGTTGTGCCAACAGTTTGAATCCACCCAAATAAAAATAGAAGACGATAAAAGTGATAGTTTGACACATTACAGTATAGGTGGAGATGAAATTTTAAAACATACTATTCCTAATGTGGAGGTAAAGAGGAGAAATGGTGGTTCAAATTATAAACAAAATAGAGAAAACAAAATAAAAAGCTTCGTTGAAGCAGAAAGTGAAGATGCCACTGAGGAATACAGAAAAAGTTTAATAAGCGAAATGGATATGGAAATAGCACAAATGAGGGAAGATGGATTCATAGACGACGAAGACAATTTTATGTCCAATGTACAGCATACCATCTTAGATGAAACATTGCGTTCATACTCCGAGGAGAACACCTATTATGAATTTAGTAACAAAGATATAGAGGAAACAATTAATTCCGATCCGGATATCAATAATTTTAGCACTGACAACATTAATATCGTTACTGAAAATGAACTATCAGACTTTCATGATGATACAAAATGTCACGAAGATATACTTAGATTAAATAGCTACGAAGAATTCACAGAAAGTCTTGGCGATGATCTTGAAAATGGTCTGTTTGTCGTGGAAGCTTACAACGATGATGGCCGAGAATTAATAGAAGTGCAAGTTATGATAGACAGAAGACCTGTTAGCATGGGTCATCAAGATCTTAAAGAAGCGATAAAAGATTCACACATGGTATTTTACGAGAACTTAGACCGCACATATAATTGTATCCACAATGAATTAACTGAGTATATTGATCAAAATAAATCAGAGCAATGTGCCGGTGCTTCTATAAACTTGGAAAATAATGTTTACGAAAATATTGAAACTCCCAGTGAAGAAATGAAGGAACCACTCATGGTGTTTGCTCCAATGTCCAACAGATCTACCATATACTCAGTTACATCGCAAGAAAGTTCGGTGTTTGACACAGATGACGAGGGAATAGAACTAGGCAGAAACAAAGAAGTGTATAGTAGTGTTCGGAGAGAGACATTCTGTGATGATAAGGGTATTATTCGTATTGAACGTGTTGCCTTCTCAGATAACAATCCATTTCCCAACTTTGTCAGCAGAAGTGATTCAACAGCTTCTTTAAAAAGGTACGAAATTTAGATTTTAAAAGCATGATTTATGTTTATATGGTGTAGTTCAAAAACACAATTGCGCTCCTTCGAAAGAACAATGACCTGAATGACAAAATAATTATTCAGAAATTGCATTTTAGTGATACATTTTGGTATTTTCGTCAAAGTTATTGTTTATGTAATATCAGTTTTTTGAACACCTAAGATATTTAATTAACCAACTGTATTGCTAAAATATAATATAAAATATCTAGAACAAAAATAAACTTAAACATACTACATATATATACAAAAATCATGTATTAAAGCAGTACAGGTTCTAGATATTTTTTTGCAAAAATAGTTTGTGCCTTCTTAACCAATTATAATGGTAATCAAAGCTTAAAGAAGTTTTAATTATTAAAAAAATTAAAATTACTAAGTAAAACCTGTTACGAAACTTAAACAAAATGCGAAAAGAAACAAAAAAGTTTCATTATTGTCCTCTTCCTGGATCTTAACTCCTTCGTAAGGATGTAGTGGCCTCCTGTAATTTGTTTCACTATTTATATCCAATTATCTTTCTCCTGTGCGTGTTGTTTTGCTTCGAAAAATGAGTAACCAGTCATGTCCTTTATTTGGTCCGACCATCGTACTGGAGATCTTTCTCTGGATCTTTTACCCGATATTATTCGCGCCATGCCATCTTCTTCTTCTAGTCATATCATATGTCCAAAATATTTCAGTATATTTTGGTTGATAGTTGTGATGAGTCTAGTTTTTATGTTAAGTTCTGCTAGAATTGAGTTATTTGTGAGATGGGTGGTCCATGATATGCGCAACATTCTCCAGTAGACCCACATTGCAAATGCCATTATACGCTTTGAACCGACTTTTTTTATTGTCTTAGTTTCTGAAGAATAGGAGGCGATAGGAAATATCAATGCTCAAACAAGGCGTAATCTTATGATTTTTAAGATGTCAGTGTTCTTCCAAATTTTTGTGAGTTTGGCTGTTGCCGATCTGGCCATTTTGATGCGGAATCTCGACCACTTCGTAATATGTCATGTTCCTTATCTCTGCTTGGTTATTTCTGATTCTATCTTCTATTCTATTTTATATTCTATTTTCAATATATTTATTTTCAAACGACATTTAGTACTCCTTATGCCTAGCCTATTCCTAATTTGTTTCAGTTCTTCTGGTGATGACACCAATATAATAGTGGCATCAGCATAACATAGGTTTTTAATTTTTTTTTCTCCTATCGTTGCTCCACGTTGCCATTCCTTAAAAATTTGCCGCATAATATCTTCACCATATATATTGAATAGAAGAGGGGATATTATACTCTTACATTAGCAGTATTATTTACATACAATTTTTGTAATAAATAGATTAGATGTTGTGGCGTACCCATTTCTCTAAGTATATGCCACATTTTATCCCCTTTTAGGGTAACGAAGGCCTTGGAATAGTTAACAAAGCATAATGTTAAATTCTTCAGATTTTTCGATAATTTGCCTAATATTAAGAATATGTTTTCTTGTTCCTCTACCTAGGATGAATCCACATTGTTCTTGGGGAATTTGTGGTAAGATAATTGATTTTAGTCTTTCATTGATGATGATTAGAAGTACTTTGCTCGCGTGTAATATCAATGCTACTCTACGGTAATTACTGCAATCTGTCGGTGAAACTTTTTTATATATGGGAATAAACGTGAGTTTACCCCAGTCATTTGGCCACTTTCCGTTATTTCAGATCTCACTGCAAATTTTAAGCATTACCTCCGTCCCTAATTCTCCCATTTTTGAGTGTTTCAGCTGTTGTTCCATCTTCTCCTCCTGCTTTTCTGAATTTTAGCTTTTAAATTGCCGCCTCAATTTCTGATTTCAATATTTGAGGTTCTTTTTCATAACGTCTTTTCTATGTATTATTGTCTAAGTCGTTGTTAGAGAGAAGTATTGTTTCCACACCTCTGCGATACCGTCTGGGTTTGTTATGGTATTTTCACTATTACTTTGAATGATCTGTGTCTGCGGTTTGAATTCTCTCGCTAGATACTTTACATTTGAGAAAAGTTCTCCAGATTCTTGGCAGTCATCATGTTCTTCTAGTTGTACACATATGTTTTTAATATAATTATTTTTTTCCTTTGCACAAGTGTTTTATAGTTGTATTTATGGCGCATATCTCTATTTCTTTATGTTTTGAATTTGATGTGCCGTATCTAAGTTTTCGTCTTTCTTCTACAATATTGAGAGTCTCATTAGTCATCTAATATTTCTTCCTAGCTGTTTTGTCTTTGATTAGTATTGTTGATGGCTTCAGTGATCCATTTCTTTATGTATTCTCACGTTTTGTCAGGTTCTCCGGTAATCACTGGTAGGTCAGTTGCAGCTAATGCTTCTCTTTTCCGGGTGTTTTGAAATCAATGTTTGTCTTTTATTTGTGATTGTTTCACTGTTTAACTTAATTCGAAATTATGCTTGCAAATTTTGTTGTTGAAACCACAGTCTATAGTTGTTTTTGTCTTCACGTTGATTATTGAGCTTCTCCATCGTTTAGTGACAAGAATATAATGTATTTGGTTCTTGTATCATCCTCCAATCGAAGACCATGTTGATAATTTTCAAGGATGATGTTTAAACATTGTATTTACTATACTTAGATCCATATTGATGTCAATCAATTTTAGTTTTTCCTATTTTTGCATTCCAATCTCCTATTATCATCATTGGTTCTTTTTTAGGAATGTTAGAGATGGTTTCATGTATCAGGTGGTATGTTTTTTCTACCATATCCTCTGCCGCTTCGTATGTTGGCATATACACCTGTATAATCTGCATTTTGGCTGATTTAGCTTTTAGAGTTATTTTCATTATTCGATCATCTAATGGAAGCTATTCATGTACACATTATTGTCAATCAAAGATTAAAACAAACCATTATAAAAAGGTTCGTAAATTGGAATTATAAACACAGTTTAGTGTTGTATGCTGGTTTTATAACAATAACATTTAACGGGTTTACTTCTGTTTTAAAGACCGTGTGTTTGTGGTTGTTGTAACAGCTTAATCCCAAGTTGCTTGTTTTTAAACTTGATTTGTAAAGTAAAATACATCTTCTACCTTTCTCAAAACAAATTTGTTTTATAGAAGCTATTTTAATTTGGTCTCATTTAATGTTTCTGTGAACGTCGAAAGCCATTTCAATTGTAAGGGAGATTAAAGTCAATAAAATCGCTGTAACTTATTTCCTGAACCTTAAATGAATTTCCTTTTTTCTTTGAATTTTTTATTAGGGATAACAGCTGATCACGTACATATATATGATCCGCCTTTTTAGCTTTTTAGCACCTTTTCATAACACTATCTGCAGAATCGCCTTTATTTTGCATATAAAAACATATGAAGAAACTTGCGAGTAAACGATTTGATTTGAAACTTCTCTAGGGAATACCGATACATTTCAAAAACAAACCAAAAAAAATTGCTATTTAAACGGAATGGAATAAGCCACAATTAAAGCTTAAAATACGTTTATTGACGTTTCAATTTCCACTTCGGAAATCGTTCTCAAAATACAAAGATAAGTAAATTAAACAAACTTTGTTTTGATCAAATCACAATATTAATATTAAAAAGGGGATCATTAAATCCTTATACGTGTCCAACACCACAAGTTAATGCAGATTCTCAAGAAAGTTGATATAGACCAAAAAGACATAAGATGCATTGAAAACTTGTACTGGCATCAAACGGCACAGCTAAAAATAGACAATTCTATATCCAAGCCCATACATATAAGAAGAGGCGTTCGACAGGGATGTGTGCTTTCCCCTCTTTTATTTAACATTTATTCAGAAGCCATATTTCAAGAGTCTTTGGAGGATGCAGAGATGGGAATCAAGGTGAATGGAGTATTGATCAACAACATACGATATGCTGATGATGGTGTCTTAATTTGTGACAACATAGTCGATCTTCAACAACTTGTCACTATAATCGGAGAATACAGTGAGCGAATGGGACTAGAGATTAATACCAAAAAGACCAAATTCATGATCATCTCCAGAAACTTGGATGCATTTGAAAACTCCACCATAACACTGAATAGTAAATCCATAGAAAGAGTGAGTAAATTTAAATACCTGGGATCGTGGCTTTTTGAAGACTGGGCATCGGACAGGGAAGTAAAATGTCGCATTGAGCAAGCTCGACAAGCTTTCGTAAAATTCAAGAAGGTACTGACTTGTTCTGAGTTCGATCTTCAACTGAGACTAAGGTTTACTAAGTGCTACGTATGGTCAGTGCTGCTATATGGCGTAGAGGGCTGGACACTCAAAACGAGGGATATAAACAGATTGGAAGCTTTCGAAATGTGGCTTTATCGCCGTATCCTAAAAATACCATGGACAGCGAAAATCACAAATATAGATGTCCTTAAAAGAATAAACCAAGAACGCCAACTTTTCGAAACCATCAAGAAAAGGAAAACGGCGTATCTAGGTCACATCATGCGAAATGAAAAATACCAGTTCCTCCAACTTATAATCGAGGGTAAAATTGAAGGCAAGAGAGGAATGGGACGCAAGAAAATGTCCTGGCTCCGAAACATAAGGCAATGGACAGGGATTAACGACATACAATCTCTGATACATATTGCAAGAAATAGAGAGTTAATGGAAAATGTGATCGCTAACATCCATTAGTGGATTTGCATCTGAAGAAGAAGAAGAAATCCTTATACGATAGAGCCAATATTACTTAATTTAATTATTTACTAACGAAAATTCGTTCTTGGAGGAGAAACATTTATTAACATCCATTTTAGTAATAAAATGATTATCCTTTATCGTTTATAAATAAGGAATTTTCAACAATCGATCGAATAGAACAGAACAACTTAGAACGAGATCCTACACCATACACAATGAATAATATGAGGAAAATAATAATACCATACATAAAAGGATTATCAGAAAAACTTAAAAGGAGAGGAAATAAATTCAGCATTTCAACAACATTCAA